AAGTAGTGCTAACCAAGAAAGTTATCATACAAAAAAGTTATCATACATCCTTTCTTTTTTTGCATATAAGGAATACTAAAAAAAAAACAATTTTTACAATGCATGATTTGTTAGGAAAAACATCTCATGTTCTAGAATACGAGTGTGAGAAGCTGCCTTACACTAAGTCTGATCCTAGTCCAATGTTTCTTAACTTTGCTGACTAGGGAATTCTGGGACTTGAACTCCATCTTAAAGTTACTAAGGTTGAAAAACACTACCCTAGAATAGATCATTTAGAGCAGGGGTGTCAAACTCACTGTGTCACGTGACGTGTTGTGACGTATCGTGACTTTTTTCCTCTTGCCGTAGCTGGGGTGGGCACAGCTTCCGCATGACGCATCCAGCCCACTGGCCGGCAGTTTGACACCCCTGATGTAGAGGCACTGTAGGAGATGAGCTGGCTGAGCTGGAAAGTGGGGTTAAATGTATCATCAGTTTGTAGTCATTGCATTCCCACAAGAGACTTAAATCCAGTCCTCTGTGAATTCCTTTGACCCTTATCTAATGCCAATTTAGTTTTGACTATTATTTGACTTGATTCTTGTGTATAGGTAGCACTAATAAATTCTTTGATGTTTTGATCTCAGTGAATGCTGGTTATTTGGCCCTGACAGAAACCTGCAATGGTGCAATGAGCTTGCACCATTGTTATATTATCAATCTTTTTTAACAGGTTACTTAATACAATTATTACATTATTTTAATTCTATACTGTGCCAATACTTGTTCCTGGCATCCATATTTATTTTTAAAATGGTCTCACAGTATCAAAGTTCAGGTACTTCTAACCGTTCTAGAAATCTAGACAATCTGCCATTGAGGAACTGGAATATTTCTTCTGCTTTTTCTTTTTCAAAAGGTAAACCTGGGATTGGGCATCTGTTACAAGCCACAGTATGATGTCAATGACATCATCACATGAATAGTGCAAATGGCTTTGCAAAATTTGTTTCATTTTTGTGATGATGTCATCATAAATTAGATATCACTTGCTCACCTCTGCCACCTAAAACCCTGCTTGGTATCTAGTCAAGAGCTTCCTAAAAGTCTCAGATTGTAAATATTGGTCCTGGTCTGCATGAAGAAAGTCAGATTGATCCTTAATCCAAATTTAGCCAGAAGAGATTTCATCTGTCAAAATGAAAATCAAGAATTTTTGGCGAAAAGACAGTATATAAACCTAATAAATAAAGTAATTAAATGTTTTCCTGGCTTCTTCTACATTCTGGTCTCCATACAAGAGGCTGGATTTTAAAACACTGCAATAGATGAGAAAAGCTCATTGCTATTATAAAAAGGAGAGCAGCAAGATCTGAAAAAAAAATCGGGAAATATTTTCCTGAAATATTCATATATTTTTCTGAAACTGCTGTAGTCCAGACATGTCAAACACAAGGCCCGGGGGCCGAATGCGGTCCACGAAGTGGTTTCATGTGGCCCGCGAAACCATCCTGGAAACAGTGAGGGAACGGCCCCCGCTGCCTTGGCCCTGGGCCAGGCCAGCCAGGAGTCAATGTACAATTTTGTGGTGGCCATCTTGGCACTTGCCCCGGTGGACCATGCCTTTGCACTTGCCCCGGTCCCACCCCCTTCTGCCAGAGACCCTCAGATCTGTCCCACTCCTGCCCAGGCTTCCATTGGCACTCTTGACGCGAATGATGTAGAACTGGCCATGCCCACCCAGTAGGCCACACCCACTCCATCCACGCCCACCCAGTAGGCTGCACCCACTCTGGCCACACACCCCCGCCCCCCCCCAGGGCAACTGCAATGCTGATGTGGCCCTCAGTGAAATTGAGTTTGACACCCTTGCTCTAGTCCATAAATTGTATCAGCCTTCACTTCCCCTCCCCCAGTATTTTTCTTGCATCAAACTCTACACTCCTTTGTAAATTTATTCTACAGCCACCCCGCATAGGAAAATAACAATCTGCATTAATTTGCTGGCCCAGCACATCTCACTCACAGAAGGAAATGGCATTTCCCTGTTTTTTCTACCAGAGGCCAATACCAAGAGAACAAGGAGCCAGTCCTCGGGGACTTTGTGATCATGAGACACAAACCACATAGTTCAACTTAGTGCAGGATTAAGCAATCAAGAGCACCCAGATTCGCTGACCGCCCATCCCATAATTTTTCATTGATGGCTATTAAGGGAGAAAATAATTAATAAACTATTTTATTAATAAAAAAGTTTGGCCTAATAAAATGGCTGCAGAGAGGTATTGGTGCCTTTTCAGGGACAGGGTGTGCCTTGGGATCAGGGTTAACTCCTAATAACTGCCTGGGCAAGTCTCTGCAGGGTTCTTTGGCAAGATTTCAGAAATGGTTTTGCCATTGTCTCCTTTCTAGAGCTGAGAGAAAATGTCTGGTTCGTGGTTACCCAGTGGGCTTCATCCCTAAAGCAAGATTAAGTCTCCCAGGTTCTAGTCTGGTGTCTTAAACCAGGGGTCTTCAAACTTGGCCCTTTTATGATTTGTGGGCTTCAACTCCCAGAATTCCTTAGCCAGGCACGCTGGCTGAGGAATTCTGGGAGTTGAAGTCCACAAGTCATAAAAGGGCCAAGCTTGAAGACCCCTGCCTTAAACACTAAACCAGGGGTCTTCAAACTTGGCCCTTTTATGACTTGTGGACTTCACCTCCCAGAAGTCCTCAGCCAGGCATGCTGGCTGAAGAATTCTGGGAGTTGAAGTCCACAAGTCATAAAAGGGCCCTGAACTAAACCATACTCACTCTTCAATCATATGACATACAAATAGCTTACTAAGAGGTTGAAACTGCAAACTCAGGGCTTATGTTCTGAAGAACTTTATGCCTTGCAGGGTCTTGATTGGTGCTGAAGGCTTGCTGAGCCCACAGATCAAAGGCTAAAAATACTGGGTTGTTTTGGTCATGGCTTTGGATGGGGTGTCACTAAGGAGTCATTCTGCCTTTTTGTTGCTAAGTGAAACAGCTCAATGAGTTTTGCCCCATTTTACAATCTTTCTTGCCAGAGTTGTTAAGTGAATCACTGAAGTTATGTTAAATGAAGCTGGCTTCTCCATTGACTTTGCTTGTCAGAAGTTCGCAAAAGGGGATCCCAAGGGACCCTGGGACACTGCAGCAGTCATAAATATGAGTCAGTCATAAATATGAGTCAGTTGCCAAGCATCTGAATTTTGATGCATGGGGATACTGCAGTGGTTGTAAAAGGTGAAAAATGGTCATCGGTCACTTTTTTCCAGTGACGTTGTAACTTCAAACTGTCATTAAATGAACTGTTGTAAGTTGAGGACTACCTGTATGCAGCTGCACAGCTCAATAAACTTTGCTCAAGCAGATTGTGTTGGTCTCCATTGTCCATTGAGTCTGGGGTAGTTTTTTCCCTTCACTATACTAGCTGGGGTGCAGCAAAGTCGTAACTCATAGTTTGGGGGACTCCATTGCTTAACCCTTACCTAACAGCAGCAGGAATCCAACCCACGGGGGTTAATTTGAGATTCCGTGTGTCACAGGAACCTAAGCCAGGATTCAACACACCAGGGATCAGAATGAGGCATAAGTGACTAGAAATGGGCCACTCTGTTCAATGGCTGGAAGCATGGAGGGTTAAAAAAAAAAAGTGAAAATTAAAAAAAAAAAGGGAAAGTAGTTGTGGGAAGTCAGAGCCCCAGAGAAGCAGAAAAATATATTTTTCCTCAAAAGGATTTTTAAAAGCAGGAGCCAACTCTGCCCCCAAATCTCTCTACCCCAAACAGAAGCCAGCTCTATTCAAATGCAAATGTAAACCATCAGGAAGGACCCAGCTAGGAGATCAAGAAGACAAAGAAACCTAAAATCTGCATATCCCACCTGAGACAGGACATGATAGGATTAACTCACAAAGGCCAGAGAGGAACACCTAAACTCATGTCAGAATACGTGACACAGGAAATAGCCTCAAAGTCCATGCCCCAGGAACAGGAAACTATTCCAAACAGAAGGCTAGAAAGGGTATAAAAACCCATATGCTCAGCCCTTTTTTTTCCTCTGGTCTTTCCTGCAAGAACCATCTTTCTGCCTCTTCAATAAAGTGTAACCTTCTTCCCAAAGCAGTCGCCATGTTGCTTATTTTATTCCCGGCTTGGATGAACCAGGATGAAGACTTTAATCCAGTGGTTCTCAACCTGTGGGTCGGGACCCCATTTGGGGTCGATCAACCATTTCATGGGGGTCGCCAAGCAAGGCTGTCTGCCATTTTTTTTGTCCACCATTTTTCCCCCTTTTCCGGTGGGTGCCTTACCTCCCTTGGGCTGGGCCAGCTGGTGGTCGGCCTGTTCCTTCTCTGCCGCTTGCCAGCTACGCCTCAGCCGGCGCAGGGGGCGGAACCACGCATGTGCGGCGCTCCCAGGCAAGGAAAGTCCTCGACTTACGACCGGTTGGGTAGTCCTCAACTTACGACCGGTTTAGTCCTCGACTTACGACAGGTTTAGTCCTCCACGTACGACCGGTTTAGTCCTTGACTTATGACCGGTTGGGGTCACGGCATTAAAAAGGTTGAGAACCACTGCTTTAATCCAACACAGTGAAGAGAAGAATCTCTGCTAGGGACTTAAAATGGGATCCTCCTGGATTTGAATCCATTTGTCTAAAATGCTCGAGCAGGGGGTTGGACTAGAAGATCTCCAAGGCCCCTTCCAACTCTGTTATTCTGTTTTTCTGATGTTCTGTCCCACAACACACGCAGAAGTCGGAAACGAAAGGGAATTTGGGACTTGTTTTGGACAAGTTAAAACTTCCCAGGGAGCCGCCATACACCCGCCAGGCAGGATCAAGGGTGGCGGGGGAGCAGGCTGCTTGCACGTGGAGGCGTGCCTTGACTTTCGGGAATCGCTCCTGGATTTGGGCACCGCTGGCGCGCCCACTTCAGGCTACCAGGAAGCCAGTGGTGCGGGGGGGGGCGGAGTCTCCCCTGCGAAGGGGGCAAGGGAAACCCCTCTAGCCTAGCCAGGGGGCTTCTAACCCACAGAGCCGAAGGCGATTGCCCTGGACCCCCTGCCCAAATGGGGACCTGTCGTCCCGCCTCCTTTGCCTGCGTCACGTGGGAAGCTCGCCCCGGGGTCCTAACCGGAGCAGCCGCGCCTTCTTGCGCGCCGAGGGGGAAGTGGCGCGCGGAGGAGTAAACAGGGTAGTTCTTTGCTGGCGCTAACAGCTGGAGGGCATCGAGGCTCCGGATTCCAGCTGTTGGGAGGAACTTTCCCGCCGAGGCCACCATGAACCTGTTGCTGCCGTTGCTGGTGCTCCTTGGCCCCTTCTGCCTTTCTGCCGTTTCGGGTAGGTGATCCCGGGAAATGCCCCCTCCCTGGGAAGCGACAAGAGGTTCTCCCCCCCCCCAAACACTTTCTCTCTTTGAATTCCCTCTCCTTCCGCGTTTCCCCAACTCGTGGCTCTCCGAGGACGGCGTCTTCCCATGTTTCCCCCCCTCTGCCAGATTTTGGGGAGACAGAGGGGGGATCCGAGGCGACTCTCCCAGTTGCGGACCGTCGGATTCAAAGGGACTCTTGGAGTTGCCCTTTCTGGAGGAGGGGAGACCCGTGTGGCTCGCGGTCCCTTCGCTCCTCCGCAGACGTGCCAAAAACCCAGTTTCAACTCCCGAGTCAAACATGCCTGCGCTGGAAAAGGGGCCAGCAATTCTTCTGGGCGCAGGCATGTGCTGGTGGAAGGTGCTGGATCCGGTCTGGGGTGATCCGAAGTGAACTATGGAAGCTCAGTAGGCGACTTGAGGCCATCTACTCTTTCTCAGCCCAACCTTCTATCAGGGTTTTGTTGCGAGGTTAACAGAGAGCCCTTCCCCCTGTATATAGCTTTGAACTCCTGGTTAAAAAATGAGATCTAAATAAAATAAATACTATAGAACCATGGATAGGTAGGGCAGGCTATGGACAGAGGATTCCTTTTTTCTTAAGGGAAGGCAGAACCCATCAGATTGTCTATCCCTCGTTTAAACCCATCTTTTTTCAAACTTTCTGTTTATTGACTGATTTTAAAATAATAACGGGGGAAAAGAAACAAAATGCAACTTTATCGTTAAGTGTTTTTCAAACTTGGCAACTTGAAGATGTGAGGACTTCAGCTCCCACAATTCCCCAGTCAGCATGCTCAAGTTGCTGGCAGTTGATGTCTCCACCATCTTCAAGTAGCCAAGTTTGAAAAATACTGGTTCAAAACATCCTGAAGTTTGCAAAAATTATAACTTTTTGGAGGGGGAGGGGGAAAGGCCAACTGATGGAGCAATCCAGGGATTACATGAACATTGACCTAGGAACGCTGGTGGCTGGAAAGGCAGGTGGGAATGGGGGATGGAACTGGAGGGAGGGAGATACGGTTGATTGATTGGAACAGGAAAAAATGTACCTACCACATTGTAAAGTTTTCTTTCAAGCCCCATTTATCAAAAGAGACTGTTCCATTTTCTCTAGAGGCTCACTTTTGTACAGATAACTAATTTTGTTCTGGAACTCTCATTGTCTCTTGTAAATGCTCATAGTTCTGCAACGTTGTACTCTTTATTATTATTTTCCAATGCTAGGGTAGTTGCATTGTTCATTTGTTAACAGAGTTATATATCATAATTACTGCAGCATAATCTGAAAGGTGTTAGAACACTGCAATATTGTGTTTTGCCTTTTCTAAGATTGCACTGACTGTGGTGGAGAGCAATCTTCCTAAAATCAAAACAAACTATGAACAGAGCTTGCCATATTGAGTCAAAACACAGACAAAGAAGCAAGCCTCATCAATTGCTAGACAACTTGCTTCTTCCAAGTAAGGCTATAAATCTACGCCATACCCAAATTTGAACAAACTTTTTTGAGCTGTGGAAAGCATATCCTGCAAACATGCAGGAAGCTGTATGTGACAGTAAGAAGTAAATGTTGCATATATACAAATATATTCACATATATCCTGTTCTCTCTGTTAGTGTATTTTCTCCAAATGGACATTAGGCAATAAAAGGGGGAAGGATGAAGGAAGGAAGGAAGGAAGGAAGGAAAGAGAAAGAAAGAAAGAAAGAAAGAAAGAAAGAAAGAAAGAAAGAAAGAAAGAAAGAAAGAAAGGGGGGAAAAAAGTCCTAGAGGGCAGCAAAGGATCAGAATCTGGGGTCCCAAACATGGCAACTTTAAGACTTAGGCTGCAGAATTCTGGGAGTTGAAGTCCACAAGTCTTAAAGCTGTTAAGTTTGGAGACCTCTGGTCAAGCTGATGGTAATGATGGGTTGACAGTTTGGGAGGAGCAGGCGGGAAGCAATTCTTGTTTTGTGTGTTGGGCAGAAATATTGGGCAAGCAGCCTTGGTTAACTTGATGAGTTTGCCAAAAATGTGTGGAAGGAAACTACTGTTATTTGGAAGGTCTGAATCAGAGAGATGGGACAGTGGCTTAGGGTCTTTACTGCTCTTGTGTACAGGTGCCAGCCCACTCTTTAGAGGACCACAAATGGACTGCAAATCAAAGGTATTTGGCTGAAGACTCCAAGTGAAAAAGCAGGTCATTCTAAGAAATTTCTGGAGTTGCTCAACAATGAAATGGGTGGCATATACATTTAATAAATAAATAAACTAGATATCCATTGGCTGAATCCGGTCCCAGAATAATTTGACCAATACTTAAAAGAATTGTTATGAACACATCCTTAAAAAAGCATTCACAACATGCAAGGCAATGGGGAAAGTCACGTATGCAGATTGCTTCCAAGAAGGCTCTTGTTTTGAAGATTAAAGAAAATGTAATTTTAAAAAGTAAGGTTGGGCTTGAGTGCAATAAAGTTCATAGTTTCTCAGAAGTAAATCCTACTGAGCTCAGGCTGGCTTAGGAGATGGTTTTGTACAATATATCATATGCACATTGATCATTCTAGTGCAGTGTTTCTCAACCTTAGCAACTTTTAAGATGTTTGGACTTCAACTCCCAGAATTCCCCAGCCAGCCTAGCTGGAAGGGATCTTGGGGTTTTTCTAGTCCAACCCTCTGCTCAAGCAGCAGACCCTATACAATTTGATACAAGTGGCTCTTCTTAAAAACCTCCAGTGACCTCCAGTTGCACCCACAACTTCTGGAGGCAAGCTGTTCCACTGGTTAATTGTTCTCAAAGTTGGGAAGTTTCTCCTTAATTCCAAATTGCTTCTCTCCTTGATTAGTTTCATTGGTTTTAACTGTATATTAGTTTAATATACAGTTCTTGAAGACAGCAGTTGCTTATGCATTGGGACTAGCATCTTGAATAGGATGACACAAAATAAACATGAAATCAAGCCAGTATTTCTTCAAGAGAAAGGGGGCAAACATCAACCTCCCTTTTTGCTATCCGGCAAGGAAGCTTATGTCTTATTCTTGCAATTTGATATTTGAATTATATTGCTACCATTGACACAAACTGTATAAATGTTGTTGTTTTTTCCATACAGACTGTCTGATTGGCTAAGACTAATGGAAACTATCTCACAGCTGGCAACAAAATGGGCAGATTGCCATCTGCTTTAGGAAAATATTGTAAGATGCAAACACACAATCTTTTGTGGTCCAAGGGCTGCATCTCTTCTTTGAGTGTCATGCTGAAGATCACATGTCAAACACTGAGTGGAAACATTAGGCAATTAAGATTTTTCTCTTCTGTCATCTTAAATATTGAAATTTGATAGCTAATGGCAGATATTAGAAGGATTGCTGTGTAGAAGAATCAAAACAGCTGCATTTTTATTGCTTTTCTGCTGTCTCACTTCTATCTCCAGTTGGGCAATGTGTCTGCATGATTATTATTTCCAATTGCATAATCGGGCTTGCTAAAATTTACGATAGTCCGAAGTCATAACGATTTGCGGACCTCATTTTGAATAGTGTCTGAACTAAGAAATAATAGAGACCCATCAAGAGCGCCTTGGAATATTCAAAAACTGTTAGAGAAACAATTAAGGCAGAAGCATTTTTTAAGTTCTGGGAAAAGCGATGGTATCAGGCGTCAAGCAGGCTCCACCCTGACTCAATTGGAATATAAGAAACAAGGAAGTTTAAACACAAGCAGACTTTTAAGTTTCTGTTCCTATAGCCTATTTCAGTTTAACTGAGATACAGTCTTCCTGTGGAGTGGGTTTCTTGATCCGATGTAGCTCATAGACCTGAAAGAAATGTCTGTGAATAATTTCTAGTTCAAAAAGCAGCAGAAATCATGGTTTAAAAACTGGACAGAAGATTGTATTTGGTCTGGTAAATTAAGGTTCATCAGGTTGATTATTGATTAAGAGCTGTGGTGGCACAGTGGTTAGAATGCAGTACTGCAGGCTACTTCTGTTGACTGCCAGCAGTTCAGCAGTTCGATTCTCACCGGCTCAAGGTTGACTCAGCCTTCCATCCTTCCAAGGTTGGTAAAATGAGGACTCAGATTGTTGAGAGTAATATGCTGACTCTGTAAAGTGCTTAGAGAAGACTGTAAAGCACTGTGAAGCGGTATATAAGTCTAAGTGCTATTGCTATCTGAACCACAAATCTCTTTGATAGATTTCTAAAATTTCATTTGTGATCTGCAGACTTTGTTGGAAAGGATTTTAAAAAACAGCCTAAGCTCTCTGCCTCTAACAGTTCTGCCTCAGCTTTTAGAATATGCATGTGTGAGCGAAGCCTATCAGCCATGGGAAAAATGTAGAGACTCATTGTGACAAGAGAGGCTTGTCTGCTAGCATTAAAATAAACATTAATCACAACATTTGAACCACTGTGCTTTCTGTAGCTGAAGATTTGTGCAACCTATATACTATCCTGCTAACTGGGGAATTCTGGGAAATGAAGTCCAGACACCTTAAAGTTGCCAAGATTGAAAAATACTGAACTAAAGAATATAACAAATATAAAAAAGATAATATACAAAAAGAAAGGGGTACATTCTAAAGTAACAAATACACCAGCCTTGTCCAAGATAGGTCTCATAACTGTTGCTAGTTCAAGTAGTCCTCAATTTATGAGTCGCTTAGCAACCGCTTAGTTACTGCAAGTTACTTTCAGTTTTTAACAAAACTATCGTGAGCAATGGGTTTGCTTAACAACCATGGCGTTCATTTAATGATCACTGCAAAACAGGTAGTAAAATTGGATTAGTCACAACATACGACCGTAATGGGCGGGTTCCATTACGATCATATGTTGAGGACCGTCTGTAAGCAGTCACAAAACTCTGACAGAAACTTTGTCATTAGCTAAGTTGGATTTGGCCTGCTCTCCACACTTCTATAACTTTTTATCCATTGTTTCCAGTGTTCGTTAGTTTTTTTTTTTAAATTGGGTTCTTAAATTCCTCATTCTACACAAACTAAGGAGTTTTTTTTTCCATCTTGCCTTCTATACTCATATATCTTAGCTTAATTCTGAAACATTATTCCAGAAAGTTAGCAACCTATTAATGTCTCACTGCTTTAGGCTACATAGAAATTAAACTTAATTTCTAACCACCCTTTTTTAGGCGTCTCTGATAATATAAAAAATATCAAAAAAAATCTCCCTCCACCCTTTCTCTCTTTGGTTTCTTTCCTATTTTTACACAGGAATCTCTAACAATTGAAAAAAGGTGGGTAGTTGCTGACTGTATATGTTCTAAAGTAAAATGAGGATTTTCCCCTTGTGGAAATTCTGACTTCAGAATACTCCTGAGAAATTGATAGATGGTGGTGGAAGTTAGGCAGATAATAGTTCATCATATCATCATCCTAATAACATGACACAGACTACAAAAATCTTAATGGAAAGGAGTTGTTGTGAAAAATGAATTCTACCATTGTTTATAAGCTACCACAAGCTCCAACTGTTATGACACTAGATTCTAGCAGACAAATTCCATCATTCAGTGTTACAGAAGACTTAATACATCCCAGTTCCTATGTTGATAAAAATAATATTTGTAGCTCTGTTGAACAGTGGGGTCCTTGGTGCTCTCTGAGTTTAGTTGTTTTCCTGCAGAGGTTTCATTACCAAACTAGGTAACATCATCAGTTACATGGCTTAAATGTAATTGCTTAATTAAACTGAATTGAGATAAGCTGCCTGGATTTTGCACAGCCTGAAATAATTGTCATTTATGCTACTTTCTTACCTCTAGGAGAGATGGTTGACTCTTTCAAATATATACCATATGTAGCATTCAGCGGAGTGCAAAATATTTTAGGACAACCTGCATTTTTTTTCATTTGAGAGAATTCTTTACATCCTTCTTACATTTATGTATTTATTAGATTTTTTTCACTGCAATCATACTTCTCTGTGCAGCATAAAATGATAAAACATTCACAATAGGTACAATATTATTACGTCATGAATATAATAATAAAATCAATAAAAATTCAACCCAAGGATATGAAATGTACAATGTTACTACGATATTATCTAACTCAGGGGTGTCAAGCCCGATCGTGTCGCAGGCTGTATTGTGACATATCGGGATGGTTTTTTTACCTTGTGGAGTGAGGGGGTGGGTGTAGCCTGCGCTGGGCGCATCTGGCCCATGGGCCTTGTGTTTGACATGCCTGATCTAACTAGTTTAAAAAACAGATTATTTCCACTCTATTTTGTTACCTGTTGAGCAATTGCTCAACAGGTTTAGGTCAAGACTAATTTCCGGGGGGGCATGGCAGAAGAGCATTTCTGACTTCTGATTTCAGTGACAGCAGCATGTTTCTGGGGTGGCTGACCATTTGATGCTGGGAGTGGTGGATTTTTATACCTTCTTGGACTTTGGTGTTTGGAGTTGTTCCTGTGGCATGAATTTTGACCTGAGCCTGAGTGTGCCCTTTTTGTATGCTGATGGTGGTGGGTTAATCCTATGTCCTACAGGTCATGTCCTCTTCCCTGTGGCTGATAGCTATGTCCTGTGTTGGATTTTTTGGGGTGAAGGGTTGTTGGTTCTAATCCTATCACTCTGTTGGTTAGCTATCAAATCTTGCTCCACGGGATTTCAAAAGATCCTGTCTTGAATGGATTTCTGCAGGTAGTATTTGCTCATGAATGGGGCTTGAGTCTTTCTCAATGCACGATTATCAAATCTGCATTTCTACAGACCTGGCCTCTTGAGTTTCTGGCTGGGGGAGAGGGAAAGATAGTTCTGCCTTTTAAGATTTTCTTTCTCCATTATTCCTTTGGAAAATATATTCTGCCTTTTTAATATTTCCCCAAAATATTTCTTTCTCTGGGGTGGGCTGACTTCCCACAGAAGTAATTGTTATCATTACATTTGTACCATAGGATCAATTCTAGTTGAAGGCATCAGTCCTATTTTTTAGATTAAAAACAGTATTTTGATTTGTACCCTAAAACCTATTGGTAACCAATACAGGCCTCATAGGTGAAATATGTTAATGGCATTTCATGTCAGTTAGCACGTGGGCCATTGCAATTTGCATGAACTTCAGTTTCCTGTTGATACTCAAAGTGAAGTCCTTGGTGTTCTCTGAGCTTGGTTGTTATCTGGCCGACATTTCATTACCCAAATAGATAACATCAACAATGCTAGAAGGAAGTAAAGTTTACTCTCTGTTTATGTACAAGTGGCTTGCCCTGTCAGTGTTGGTGGGAGTCTAATTTTCTTCTTGATAGTTCCTTGATTAGGCTGTTTAATGTTTGATTGTCTGCATTGGTAGTTCCTTGATTAGGGTATTGTTTAATGGTTGATTGTTGGTCTGGTATTAATCCTGATGTTAATCTCTGTTTATCGGGATGTTGATTACAACAGATATTACAGATACTTTGGTCTTTTTGTTTCCATTTTAGTTAGTAATTGTTTCTTTGAGTGGTATGTAGATGTCACTTATCTCTATGTGCCTGTTGATGGCTGATATGTGTGAGTTCCACACTTCCAGGAATTCTTTAGCGTTGAGAGTAGTGTTGGATTTAGCTTGGTCTAGATGCTCAGTTTCTCAAGTACTCCTAATTGGATAATGAAATGTCTGCAAGTTATCCCTAGTTGGGTAATGAAACATTTGCAAGAAAGCAACCAAGCACAGAGAGCACCAAGGACTCCACAATTCAATCCTGAGCTACAAATATTCTCTTGTATTGATCTTTAAAGGCCATGCAGAGCTCACTGTAGTTGTCTAGGCAAGTAGTGCTGAGAGTTACTTCTGCAAGATCCTCTTGCTTCAGGCAAGTCTATCATTAGTGCACCAGCAAAGGCCTTCCTGACTATGGTTTTCACCTGCCCATCTAATGGTAGTAGTGAGTCCTAGAAGACCTGAAAGTTACAGACCTGCTCCCTCAAAAGTTGATAGGAAACCTTAGTGAACAAACAGGTACAGTATAAGTGATACCTTGCTCAGTAGTAGTAATTGTGAGATGGATCTCAGAGTCCTAGTGGACAATCACTTAAATATGAGCCAGCAGTGTGATGCAGCTGCCAAAAAAGCCAACACAGTGCTAGGCTGCATTAACAGAGGGATAGAATCAAGATCTCAGGAAGTGTTAATACCACTTTATAACGCCCTGGTAAGACCACACTTGGAATACTGCATCCAGTTTTGATCACCATGATGTAAAAAGATGTTGAGACTCTAGAAAGAGTACAGAGAAGACCAACAAAGATGATTAGGGGATTGGAGGCTAAAACATAAAGAACAGTTGCTGGAATTGGGTATGTCTAGTTTAATGAAGAGAAGGACGAGGGGTGACATGATAGTGTTCCAATATCTCAGGGGTTGCCACAAAGAAGAGGGAGTCAAGCTATTCTCCAAAGCACCTGAAGGCAGGACAAGAAGCAATGGATGGAAACTAATCAAGGAGAGAAGCAACCTAGAACTAAGGAGAAATTTTCTGACAGTTAGAACAATTAATCAGCAGAACAACCTGCCTCCAGAAGTTGTGAATGCTCCAACACTGAAGTATTTAAGAAGAGACTGGAAACATGGCACAAATTACTTTGATATGTATCTGTTTTATTTCAGGGTCCGTACAGAAAACTGTCAACAGTACCTCTGCTGCCCATTTAAACTCATCAACAATAAGTAATTCTTCAACAACAGGTAAACTTCCTTCTTACACTGCTTTGTTCTGCAAACCCTCTTCAAAACAAATTTAAATTCTTCTTTTCCCACTTTTTTTCCCCCAAATCCAATATGGTATGAATAATTACACCTGGAAAAGAGTGCCACCATTCAGGGTGATTTCATTTTTCTTCTTTAGAACAGGTCATGTAACAGAATGTTATGTTCTCTGGCTTTTTTTTTTCAGTTGAAAGATTGAGATTCAAAGTCTATGGGCAAAGGGCCTCTCAACCACCACACTGGCTTTCAAGAGCTAAAAAAAGGGAAGTCTGTCGCTGATTACTGTTCTTTCAGAATGGAGAATAATTCCTGGAAAAAAAGTAATGGAAATTGAATATGACTTTCTAGAACAGCATTTCTCAACCTCAGAGACTTTAAGATGTGTAGATTTCAACTCTCAGAACTGCCCCAGTTAGTGGGGGAAGCTGAGCGTTGGAAGTCCACATATTTTAAACACAACGAGGTTGAGAAACTGTTCTAGGTAATGCTACAGCTTTAGGGAAGAAGTTACAAAATCCTAATGCTACCAGTAACCCTGTAATCATGCTTGAGTATTGTATACTTGGTAGGATCTGCATATGAGGCATAGAACTGGAGGTATAGGTTGCTTTTGCCATCTGCCTGGCTGGAAGTTTGCTTACAAGCTATCAGAGAGAGAGAAAGAGACAAAAGCTTGAACCTGTGAGTTAATAGAGGCACTTTCTGATCTTTCAAGTCTTTTCTGGCTTTATTTCCTGGAGCAAAATGATGGCATCTGAGAGAGAAAAAGGGTGGTGTTCTTGTTTTCTGTAGGCTTAATTAGACTCATCTGTCAAATAACAAGCATGTTCCTCCAAACAACTATTTATAGAAGCCGTGATAGCATCCGAACTATCTTAAGGGCAGCATAATAAGCATACACATCTTCCCTGTATCGGTAATCCTTGACTTACAACCACTCGTTTAATGACCGTTCAAAGTTACAACAGCCGTGGAAAAAGTGATTTATGACTGTTTTTCCCACCGACCGTTTCAGCATCTGCATGATCACCTGATCAAAATTTGGATGCTTGGCAACTGATTCATATTTATGACGGTCGCAGTGTCCCCGGGGTCAGGCGATCACCTTTTGTGGACTTCTGACAAGCAAAGTCAATGGGGAAGCCAGATTCACTTAACAACCAGGTTACTAACTTAACAACTGTGGCAAGAAAAGTTGTAAAATGGAGCAAACCTCACTTAACAACTGTCTTGTTTAACAAATAAATTTGGGGTTCAATTTTTCTCATTAATCAAAGGTTACCTATACTACCTTTTCTCTCTCCACAACCAGAATTCCTCTTCTATGCTCCCTCACTTTGTTCCTCTTCCCTTTGGTGTCTCCTTTGCTGGTTCCAGACTGGAGATCCTCTAGATCAGTGGTTCTCAACCTGTGATCTGTGGACCTCTGAGTAGCCGTGATGTCATCCCAGAGGATCCGTAAAGCCTTGAAAAAATATTATAATTTAAATGTTGAGTTATGTCTTGGGGTCTGTGGCCCTGGTCCATGGCCACAAAAGGTATTTAAAGGAGATCCGTGGTGAAGAAAAGATTGAGAACCACTATTCTAGATTATGAACTTCCACAGTCCTCTTTCTGGCATAGATACTGCTGAGAATTCTGAGGGTTTGTGAAAAGTGGCTTTCAACCTTTGTGCCACTTTTTTTTCTCCCAGCCTATTACTAACAAAATCTGCAAAGCTATTTATTGAATCCCAACTTCAGGCATGATGAAGTACTAAATACTGTGTAAGTCTAAAGCAGGGGTCTTCAAACATGGCTGAGGAATTCTGGGAGTTGAGTCCACAAGTCATAAAAGGGCGAAGTTTGAAGACCCCTGGTCTAAAGCCATGACTGATGTGATTACTGATGATGAAGAAGATTGAAACAACTAGGATACAAGTGTGATGAGGTTGGTCACAGTTATTGGGTAGTGTCAAGAATATATCTTGGAAAAAATAGCATGAAACCAAAGAAAAGAATAATTGAAGTGAAACTAGAATGACTGCAGGAAAAGAAAGCCTTATATTAATCTCCCTATTAGAAAATTAGTGGATGTAAAACAGTGGAAGATGCTTCAAACCGAATGAAAAGAATTATATTACAGAGGATCACAGAAGAACATAATTTCTATGCTTCTGAGGATTCCGAGCATTGTAGGTTAGACATTTCTGGAGGTCCACATGTTCTGTACCCTGAATTCCAATTTTTTTTATACATCACAGTGAAGATGAAGGAAATAGGACTTTATTATAGCTTCCTGCCTTTTGCCTGCGCAAACTCAGAATTAGAGCAAGAGAATGTTATGTGTGCTTGGATTAATAGTTAAGGAACTACTAGACTAAGAATAGAGACTATGATTTTAATCCTACCTTAGGCATGAAAGTCACCTGGATGATTTTGGCACACTCACAATCCTAGAAAGGCCCAATGGCAAACTGAAAACTGCATGGTCTTGTCCATAGAGTCACCAGGAGTCAGGATGGACTTGAAGGAAAATTCAAAAATGGAGGTTGCATTTGGCAGAGATTGGCCTTATACACCAACGTTTGGTATCTCAATTCTTTTGTAGCTTATGCTGAATTCAAATCAGGAAATAAGACTGATGAGCTGTGGGATCCATGGTGCTCTCAGAACTTGCTTATTTCTTGCAGAGGTTTTATTATCTAACTAAGTAACATAATCAGAACATATTTCTGCCTCTGGCTCTTTTTCTATACATGCATTGGTTGCAATTCATGAAATATATTTAGGCTTATTTGGTTTTTGGTTAAGTGGTGGGTGTCATTAACCATCAGAATATTTTCCTTCTGTTTCCATCCTGCCTAAAAATTGCCCTTCAATCTCTGTTTCTGTCATGCTTCATGATAGAATCTATGTGTTATGGGGGAGGGGAGAGGAGAGGACAATCTCCAATTTCAAAATAAAACAAGTGGAAAGATAAATGTTAAAGCTTCTCCAAATCACTTTCAGTCACCCTAATGAAAAATAGGACCTTGTATTTATAATGAAAGTGGTGAAAATGTTAAATTTAGTTAGTTCTATAATGCAGTAGGCAAAAGAACAAGATGATTATCTCATTTTTAAAAATCACATGCTATAAATGGAAAAAAAGGGGGGTGGCATGCCTTGTTTATCAACATTTCAAGAAGTGATCTACACAATTATTGTATCTGTTCCTATATTTCATACATGCTTCACAAAAGGATCGTGTCATGAGGTAAGTATTTCACCAAGCAAATGCCTTGATCCTTTTGCCCATAATTAATATTGTCTTTAAATGATATTTGGGGCAGGGGGACAATAGCTCTCCAAATGACAAGAAAAACAGACGAGTTAGGCTTGTTTCAGGAACTTTCAGTTTAAACTTTGAAACCACAGCGGATTTCTTTGCAAGGTGCTAACGATAACCATTCTCCACAACTTCCGTTTATAAAGGCGGCTGTAAAAATCCCCAGAGCATTTCTACAACTGAGCTATGTGTTTTGACGCCCTCTTTTCCCTGATTCAAATAACAATTCTGACCTAAGCACTGTTATTGTTTTTCAAATTTCAAATTAAAATATAACTCGTGAAAGAAAATGGTAGTTGGATACTTCATGCATAAAAGGTGTTTAGGAAAAGAGACTCTGAAAAGATTATTTGCATGAAGAAAATTTATCATTTATTTCCTATCATTTCAGGTTACATATCGGCTGTTTTGTGAATAGGCAACTGTCCCATGACAGCTGTGATGTAGATGTACATGCAAAATGCTTTCAAGTTCTGAAGAGTGTCTACTCTTGAATTGTTTGGGGGAAGGGGGAGGGAGATTTTATTTAATGATAATTTAAATTTAAATTTCTTTGGGTAAGGAAAGTTTGACACTGAAGTCGTTACTTAAAAGAGGGATGGATTTGCCCTTCTTGGAGACTCTGTTTATCTCCAACCCTGTGATTATAATTAAACATGGCGGAGATGAAAAGCTGAGCCTAAGTTGGGACATTTTTTTCCAATGTGTTGAGTTTCTTCAGAGAGCATTCTGCTTCCTTTTGAAAACACTCCTCTGGATTTGCAAGCCACAATGATGCAGATGGTTTTATCCCTTCTCTTCTATAACAGCTATAAACCCAAACACAAACTGCAATGTCCTGGTGACTGCACATAAATATTTGCATTCCTCCTTTCCTTGGTTTTCTGGATGGCTCACAGACGCTTCTGCGGAAGATGTTACAAATATCTCACAGCTTATTCTATGCCTGTCTCATTACGGGATAAGAGCTATTTATTTTAAATTCTGACATACATATGCTGCCTTTCCTGTCTAAGAAGCTTTATTCCCTCCTACCACATTTTATTCTCACAAGATCTGTAGTCTTGAGTGGAAGCAACTGGCTCAGCATCATGTAATGAGCTTTGTAATTTTATGGGAATTTGAACCTAGGTGTGATAGCCAGTTTGGTGTAGTGGTTAAAAGCATCAAGCTAAAAACCGGAAAACTCTTGAGTTTTTAACAAGTTCTTAACTGAACAACTGCAAAGATTCACCCAACAACGGTGGGAGGAAAATCCATAAAATGTGGCAAAACACATTTAACTGTCTCGCTTAGCAACAAAAATTTAGGACTCAATTCTCAATGTAAGTTGAGGATTAGCTGTATTGCCTAAGGAGGTTTAAAATTTCCAGGAATTTCCCAATACATAAATCAATAAATAAATCAGCATAGAAATCATTATAGATAGAAAAAATGTAAATCAATACACCGGTGTATAAATGGCGTGAAATACCCGACACAGGTTTCCATTCAGGATGTCGAGGTAGGTCATATTTCTTTTCTGTTCTCCAAAATACGTGATTCAGGAATGGTGTATCTTTGGTGTATCACGCCCACGTGAATGCTATCAGTCCCCTCAATGGTGAAAATGTAACTGCAGGAAAAATTAAATAGGAAGGAACTTAAATATTTCACATCTCCACAGCATGCTTGGCTTGCCAAGATGAAAACAAAGAATGGAATGTAGTTTTCACAAGTTGTGGAAGAAAGGGTATTTTCTCATGATTGGTAAGCTACGAACTGACCTGATGATTTGTATCAGAAAGAATGTGGCTATTGATTGCTAGGGAAGTAAAAGTATAGAATAAACCAGCCACATCAAGGAATGAGTAGCATCTAATCTTGGTAGCAAACTAATTTGTTGTTGTGTAAAGTAAGGTGTATTTAAGCTATTTTATCCCTATTAGTGCTGTTGCTATTTAATTCAAGTTGTATTTTACAGAGTTTTTCCCCCTTCTGTTCAGACATGTCCAATTAGAGACTGCCTGGACAAGTCTATGTGGTTTTCTTGGCAAGTTTTTTCAGAAGTAGTTTGCCATTGCCTCTTTCCTAGACTGAGAGAAAGTGACTGGCTCAAGGTCATCCACCTGGTTTTGTGCCCAAGGTGGGACTAGAATTCCCAATCTCCTGGTTTCTAGCCTGGTGTCTCAACCCACTACATCAAATTAGTCCCAAAGGTGCTTTTCCAGCAGGCAACTGTACTTTCTTGTTCCCTCCTGGAAAAGCACCTTTGGGACAACCATACCTGGATGACTGAGAATCTCCATAGACATATACCAAATTAGCTCTCATTTTCTGGTTTATGGAAGTTCAAAACATACCATTCTAAGGAGAGAGAGAATATTGTATATTTCTTTGGAACTTTAAAAATCTGTCCATTCAGGGGGTGGTCCATTACTTCTCCTGAATACTGTATACCATTCCCTGTTCCAACATTTTTACTTCTGGCCAAATCTAGGAACACCTGCAAAATGGCTGAATTAGCAGCTTCCTATGATGTTTCTATTCCAAAAATGATAAGAATCACTTATCTTTGTTATTATAGCTTTTAATATATTAATAAATCTATCCTGTAACACAAGCATTATTTACAAACCTTACATGTTTTTTCTAAACCAGCAAAGACCATGACTGTTACCAATGCCACCCAAAAATCAGTGAAAACCACGGCTCATCCTGACGTGACTTCTAAGATCACAACAATCACCAACAAGACTACCCCTGCTGCACAACCTACCATAGCCGCTCAAACAGTTAAACCTATAGTACCTGCCAGTACAAAGCATTCACCAACTGAATCTGGGACACACAAGACCATTGCAGTTCCTGTAACGAAGCCATCGCCCGCTTTGGTGACAAGTATGTACTGACATTTCACTTCCTAGTTGATAGTTATCTAGATAGAATTTGAACCTCACACCATTCAATTCATCATAATTGTCTTTGTTTTTAAAGAAACTTTGTCAGAATTATAGAAATAAGGCACATCTCTTCTAGGTAACTCTAAAAAAAATAGAATATTATGGACAATTTATTACATTCACAAGTATTTGGTTTATTTCTGACCTATGACCTTAATACCAATTCAAGAGAAGCTATGTAGTGAGCAACCAAAATGCTATAACTTTTCCAATCAGACGTATTTCAGAAGTGTCGGGATGATAAGTCCCAGAATTCTAAGCCAGCATCCAGTGGAGGGCAGTCCAGTTGCTTGCTAAGAATAAAACTTATTAATGTTCTTTAACAATTACAGTTGTGAAATACAGCAAGGACTATAGAAGTTTTCCTAAGAAAGGTCTTCACCTAAACATCAGAAAGGAACCAACTTATCTGGTCCCTCCCAAAAGCAGATTCTACAAAGGACACCATTAATAAAAAAGAAGCCCCTTCCTAGTAGCTCTTGAATGCAAGTTGGTTTACATGTTCATGCAACAGGGTTAAGCAATGTGGTATTTTTCATATGCCTTGGAGTATGTCAGCCACTGACCTTTGCCTTTGGCTATGCTGTCATGGCTTAATGGCAGTTGAAGTCCAAAACCACTGCAAGATGCAGAATTCCTTATTCCTATGTCAGGCATATGGGGTGAGAAAGCTGTCCAATATATGTCCAGAAGGGAGCAACATAGATGGAGTGAAGCCCGGAGATCAAATTTCTTTGAGGGAACATTTAAGGTGGACATGTGTAGAATGGAGAGCACAAGATTAAGAGGTAGTGTGATATCCTTTCTCCAAATATTTAAAGCCAGCCAGCTCCAATTACAAGAAAGGAATTGACATATTATAGGAATTATCCTCCAAAACATAAGTTAACATTAATGTAATATTTCTGAGTGATGTGCAGGACAGGGTGAACAAAAGAGCAAGATAGGCAAGACCAAGCAAGCATTTCTGTTTTCCTGAGTTTGTAGGTGGCCGATTCTTACTGAACTATACTATTCTAGAGCATTCATACAGTTGTTATTCCCATTTCAGAATCATTAAAAACAATGACTCTCAAGTGTTTAGCGGTGGTGTGAAGGTCCTCCACCGCTGAAAAGAGGTTCTCAATTGCCTACTCCTGCTCTAAAAGTCAGCCAAGAAAAATCCAACTTGGTCTGAGCTATAGTAAAGAATAGGCTCTTGAGATAGGTTCCTACAACCAAACAGAATCCATTTTATTTGCATGTTAAAGCGGGGGACACCAAACTTGGCAACTTTAAGACTTGTGGACTTCAGCTCCCAGAATTCCTTAGCCAACCACGTTGGCTGGGTAAGTCAAGTCCACAAGTCTTAAAATTGCCAAGTTTGGAGAGCCCTGTGTTAAAGGATAAAGATAAGTCAGATAAAGAGTCTTTTGAGTTCATCTGCTTCTTCCATAGATACAGTTTTCTTGATAACATTTCAGAAGCATTTGTCAGCGGTTTCTTCCAGGAAGTTGGTTGGGGTTTTTTTTCTTTTTCAGCTTCCTACTCTCTTCTACAGAATGTATCCTGGTAAACTCCTGATCAAGTAACTAACCATAGCCAACCTACTTAGTTTCTCAAGATCAGCCAACATCAATTAAACATGTCCTTAAAAAGAAATATGGTAAAACATAATAAGAATTAAAAGAACAAGAACCTGCAGGGAAGAGCTGTACAATATACACTCTTAGAAAAAATGAAAAATTAATACTTCAGCAAAAGTATATGAACATTTTTGTCTTTTTTTTCTTTTAAACCATTACAGAAGTTTCAGCAGTTGAAGGCAACTCACCGGGCTTCAGTGCCGGCAGCTTCATTGGTGGCATTGTGTTGACTCTTGGACTTCTCGCCTTTGGCTATATTGGATGCAGAATCTATCACACAAAAAGAGGTGTTCAGTATCGAACCATGTACGTTGGATTGAATATTTTTGATCTTTCTCTAAGTAATACTGGACAGGGTTTGAGGAAAAATGTAATCTGCTCGAGCACTAGGGAATGTGACAGGATACAAAGTTGGCAGGGTTGACACCCATGTTTCTAATTCAGTAATGAAACTAATGGTAGGATGATGGAAGCTGTAACTTCGGACATGTTAGACCAGGGGTGTCAAACTACCGACCCGCGGGCCGGTTTCATCATACCAGAGTCGCGCCCACCCCATTGCCGACAATGGCAAAAAAAACTCCGATACGTCGCGCGATGTCACGTGACGTAGCGAGTTTGACATGTCTGTGTTAGACCAACAAAGTAGATCAGACCAAGAAACCAAAGCCCTTCACAAACCCAGGCTGTCAGCATCATTTAGCCATAAAACCCACTGATTGAATCGCTTGAAGTCAGCAGATAAATAATACCAAAGGCTGAGCCAAAGCAAATCTTCAACTAAATTGATCAGTGATCTCACCTGGTTGAAGACGTTTATTATTCTTTTGCATATTCTGCCGTTCTCTTCCAGGTATACGTCTCCAACATTTTAATGTAAACTCAGGCACAATATTACACCCTGCTGCTAACGGTGTGGAATCTTGATTTTCCCTCCAATAATAATAGACTCAATGAATCCTAAGATTGGGCTCATAATCCTAATGAAATAGCAATATTTAAGGATGGGATGTTAGTAATTTGTCTGGTTGCTTTCATCTTAACACTTTATGTTTTTATTCCTCTGATAGGCAAGACTAGCACCTTCTTGCACAAGAGGAAATGTCATAGTACTAAACCCTTTGTAACCTTTCCTAACAATGAGAGTTCTTTTGTTTACTCTGTGATTACTTCCTTTCATTGGCTCAACATGGGTAGAGGCCAGGAGGTCTGCAACATCCCGTCTTTTTTGAACTATTTCAGCCCTTGGTTGGACCCTACCTTTTCTGTTACCGCAGAAAGCAAGGCCCTTTTGCCTCCTGCTGTTGTTCACAAAAGCATGGGGCCATATACTTGAGCACGTAACTGATCCTAAGATAGAATAACTTTTCTTCATCCTTTGAAGGAAGCTGCAGCCTTTCATTTTGTGCTTCCTTGCTCCCCCTGTCCAATTCCAGAATTTTGCTCACCAAGCTTGGTTGGTTTATTTTTAAGCATACAGTAACAAAGGAAGCAATTTCTTTCCTTCCAGTAAGATCAGACACTATTTTTGCTTTGTGGCTGTGGTTGTGGTTGTCCAGCCAAGAAGCACAACCAAAATCTTTATTGTAAGATTAACAAAATCTTGCAAGACTGAAAATAACTCCTCACCTCCTTTCCTTTTATTTTCCAGAAAGCTAGGGAGGATTCCTTCTGAAATGCTTCCCATCCACACGGACATCCCTTCTATAGGCTGAGATAACCTTTACATACCAGTTGTCCACTCTGTGGCTCTTCTTCCTGTTTCCCAAAGCCATTACCACATGCCATCAGACGTAGTTGTAGATTCCTATTCATGGGAGGAATGTTCTACCAAATGCAGGACAACTTTACAATTCAATTATTTTTAACTTCAGGAGATTCTCTTTTCGGTTACAGTATGAATTTTACCAAGCTGTATTGGTAAATAAATCACAAGATGCTTGTTCCTTGCCCAGATATCCTTCTTCTCCACCTTCGTTGTTTTTAACTATTGAATTAATTTCCCCCATTTCTTCTTCTGTTTGTATGTTTAATTGCATTCCATGGGAATGAATAGACAAAGGGTACACACATAACAGGGAGAATATATTATAGGTAGCTCTCATTTAGTGAGCACAATTGGAACTCGAATCTTGGCTGTTGAGGCGATCATTAAGTGAAACCATGGCTGCTTCAGAACTTCCTTCAGCTTTTCTTTGTTTTAAAGGACTGCAAAATTCATAAATGCGAGGATTGGTTGCAAAGTTACTTTTTCATCCCCTTTCGTCATCAGTTTGCTCTAGTGATTAAGACCCTAGGCTAGGAAGTGGGAGATTGTGAGTTCAAGTCCTGTCTTAGCCATGAAAGCCAGCAGAGAATTTTGGGTCAGTCTCTCACTTCACAGGTGGTTGTTATGGTGAAAATAGGAGGAGGGAGGTGTGTTGGATATATTCACTGCCTTGAGTAAAGGTGGGATATAAACAAACATAACTGTGAAGTTGCTAAGCAATGCAGTTACTAACAGAGAACTATTTGTGTTCTTTCACATCACCAAGTTCACTCACTGTATTTCATGTTTGTGCTCAAGTTTAATAACGAGCATTGTTAAATAAAATTACTTGCACAGCCTAGTGCTTAATATTCAGTCCCACTGATCATGTTTTGGGGATCGCCAAATAATTTAAATCATCATCAAATTTATTATGAGGAATTACAGTGGCTCTGTTCACATGATATGATCAGTCTCTTCTCCAGGCACTATATCATGCTGTCTATATGATTCATATGAAGATTCAACAGTGCTCTTGTTAATTTATATACAATCACAATAACCTTAAACACTGTCTTGATCAGCAGAACCCAGCTTATTTGTGAAGATCTAAATTTTTTTTCCCCAGCACAAAAGATGGTCCAGAAAGTTTTGCATATTTGTTAATCTCGTTTAATAATTCTGTGAATTCAGCTCCCATTGATGTGTATAATATAGTTCCCTTTCTTTCTTTTTTCTCTAGTGATGAACATGATGCCATTATTTAAAGTCTGTGATGAAAAGACAAAAGTCAAACATCCACACATTTTACTCCTGCTTTTAGGAACACTTTCTCTCTGGGAAAATATTATCTGATCTGATATTGACTGTTTTGTCTCTTTTGGCATACATTAATCTGCAAATTTGGAGAACTCCATAAGGACTTTGCATACTTCAGAGTATCTTCAATGAAGCATTTCAAGGAATTGAATTTAGCACCTGCTTTTTATCACTCTCTTTTGAAAACCATTAAAGTAAGCATTGTTGCTTCTTAGCTCTTTTCTACAGAAGATTGGAGATGACAAGTCCACAACAGAATACAATTTCAAGTATTGGATCCTGAACTTTTTTGTTTTGCTCTCCAGTCTTTTCATTCAGGAACACAAATCAGACATGGCTGGACAAATAAGAGCAAGAAGTCACAAAAACAATATTTCCGGATCAGTTGTGTAAGATTTGTGGGATATCATTGGAATATTATTTCATTAACAATCTGGGGAAGCTCAAATATTGTACAGATAGTTCTCGACTTACAACAATCCATTCAGTAACCGTTCAAAATTACAACGGCACTGAAAATAGTGACTTAAGATCGTTTTTCACACTTACGACTATTGCACCATCCCAATGATCATGTCTGATCAAAATTCAGACGTTTGGCAACTGACTCATATTTATGACAGTTGCAGTGTCCTGAAATCATGTGATCACCTTTTGTAACCTGACAAGCAAAGTCAATGGGGAAGCCAGATTCACTTAACAACTGTGTTGACTATCTTAACAACTGCAATGATTCACTTAACAACCGTGACAAGAAAGGTTGAAAAATGGGGCAAAAAAATCACTTAACAGATGTCTCACTTAGCAACAGAAAATTTGGGCTGAATTATGGTTGTAAGTCAAGGTCTACTTCTGTTTGCTACGTTGAATCTATTTTACGCTGTGTTGGTTTTTTTTTACTTTGTGGTTGCAAAAAAACAAGTACAACAGATAAGAGTGCAAAGATGAATTTGAAGCTTTTGAGGTGGAGGGCTTTCGTTGTGTTTTATGCATTTTAAAACGAGAGATGAATAGGACTGTCTTGAAGAAGATCCATATAAAATGGACATCTTCGTATGTTTTTCCTGGAAAGGGAGGCCAATGTTCTTCCAATTGGAAGGGATTCTGAAATCATCCAGTTGGGTTCCATCTAGTGTGATCCGTTCTGTTGGAGGTTACCATATCAAAAATTCACCAGGTCATATGAGTTAGCTCTTAGACAAGAGGCTATGTGACTTATCTGTTAAATTGAGATAATTGTGTAATTATTCATTGCCTGTGTTTATACTTTCATAGAGAAACTGATTTAAGAAATAAAAATCCAGAACATTTACACCAGTAGTTATTGAATAACTTAAGACAATTGCGCTATCTAGTATTCATCAATGATAACTAATTATTCCATACTGTCCAACATCTGGAGTGTATTTCTGAAATGAAACAAATTTGACATTGATTAGGCATGGGGCGCTTAAAGGATAAATGTGCTCTGTACGATACCCCATTTGGTTGATCAGATTCTCAAAGAAGTTCTCAAGAGCTTCTCTCAAGGAATCCAACATTCAGAGGACAACTATCAAAGCTACTCTCCAACCGTCTTGGAGATGAGACATTTTTTCTTTCTTCAGAAGGAATAAAAACAGCCTCTGTTGCTGCCAGTGGAAAGTATTATTAACACAAGTTGTTGCATGGAAAAGATTTGAATAGGAATTTCTGTAAAGGGGGAGAGCCTAATTCTTTCCAATGTTGTGAACCCTCAGTACAACATTTTGCTTTACATCTTTCATTAATAACTAGATATTTACTAATTACAGAGTTGCTAACGGAAGTAAAGTAGTAGAGCTACTAATGGAAACTAAAGGGATAACTCGTCTGGAACGGTTGCTGGAACTGGGTATGTCTAGTTTAATGAAGAGGACGGGGGGGGGGGGACAGGGATAGCAGTGTTCCAATATCTCAGGGGCTGCCACAAAGAAGAGGGAGTCAAGCTATTCTCCAAAGCGCCTGAAGGCAGGACAAGAAGCAACGGGTGGAAACTAATCAAGGAGAGAAGCAGCCTAGAACTAAGGAGAAACTTCCTGACAGTTAGAACAATTAACCAGTGGAACAACCTGCCTCCAACACTGGAAGTTTTTAAGAAGAGACTGGACAGCCATTTGTCTGAAATGGTACAGGGTTTCCTGCCTGAGCAGGGGGTTGGACTAAAGGTCCCTTCCAACTTTATTATTATTATTACCACAGAACTACATTTTGATCACACATCGTTCTTTCTATTCATCAAGTCAAGTTTTAAGGTAGCTTCTACCATGGTTGTTTAAATGGAGTGTAATAAAAGTACTGTAGACGTTGTAATCTTTTATTTGATCTTTGCAGAGATTCAAGCACTGTTACAAGAAAAAAAGCTTACTGTATTGTGTTGCATTGTATTGTATAATTAACTTTCATTGGGGTGGGGAATATCTGTCTTGATAAGACTACCTCTTCTTAGTATTATCTTTGCCTCCACACTTCCTCTCAAAGCCCCATTAATAATCAGATTTCTCTGGCCCCCAACACACACGATTTGAATAGGAGAGGCACGCAACAAACTTTTTTGTATATTTTTCTTCACTGCTGTTTAACTTTACAAGTGCATTGGGGTGCATATTTCGCAGCTGCACAAGATTGATGAGATAAATGTGCCTTTTCCTCTCTCTGTCTCTGTGGGTGTATATACCAGAGTAACAAATGGCCATGGTACTTGCTTTGCTTGCTGTAAGATAACTACTAATTGCATGTTCCCCTCTTAGGAATTCAATGATATACTGAGAATGCAGCAGAATGGAGCTTTTGTGAAATGTGTTCCAACCATCCAACAACTTGCAACTTGCACTGTTTAACCTATGTGTTTGGTACTGGTTGTCTCCAAAGCTCAAATCATGCATTGCTTATTCTGTAATACAGTTTTAAAATGCAGGTAGTTCTTGACATACGACTACAAGAGGGAGTGGAACTTTTATTACTAAGTAATGCAATTGGTGCCCAATTTTATTATTTCTTTTGCTAAGGTCATTAAGCAAATCTGGCACCTCCTCTCGATTTGACTTGTCAGAAGTCAGCCAGGAAGGTCACAAATAGCAATAATGTGATCCCAGGACATTGCAACTATCATAAATAGATGCTGGCTGCTGAGTGCCCAATTCACAATCACTTGACCAGAGGGACACTTCAATGTTTGTAAGTGTGAGAACTGATTATAAGTCGCTTTTTGCAGTGCTATCATTAACTTCAAACAGATGCTAAGCCAATGGTCATATGTCCACTTACAGTACTTTTAAAAAAAAACAGAAGCAAGACCACAACAGTATGCTTGTGTGGCCCTCTCTCCATAATAAGCAAACAAATCTATTGTAATACAGTCTCCTTAGGCAATTTGGGAGATGAACTCCTATTTTTACCCCATCTTGAAGTCCTGTATTTTACTTGGGTCCATATGAATCTGCTACACCAATGGTTCATGCAGGAATGTTACCACTTTCAAAATGTTTTGAACTTGCCCCTTCACTTAGAAGGCTAATTATGATAGAAACAAATCTGTTTCTATCAATTCTGTTCACACATCACACATCAGGCTAAACCGTCATTGACTATCTCATGAATCAATGGATGGTTCAAGTGTGTGAATGATGGTTTGGGGTGTGGATGAATTAAGCCAATTCTGTATACTCTATACACTATGAATATAAGTTCATTATTGGCACCCTTTAATGTAAGAAGAGGAAAAAGTCTAAAAATGTCAGTTTTGTTCAATTGGTATTTCTGGGGGCTGTAAATGGAATGATGGGGCAGTTGCAGGCAGCCTGTCTCCCCATCTTGTTTGTAAGCAACTGTTCAGGTCTTTGAAGTGCATATGGGAATTGTTCACCTATTCCCTTGCCTTTTTTTGTTATACCCCATTCTGAATAAAGATTCTAAGAAAAAACAACTTCATTCAGGGGTGGGTATGTCCATAGGTTACAACTCTTGAGATTTCTATGCTGAACAGCCTGGAACAGCTCTTGTGTAAGACAGAATGAGGGAACTGTTTCCAGGTTGGGAATATTTGTCATGCAAGAAGTGATACTGAGATGTAGGAAAACATTCTAAATTCATATGGGCTGCAGCTATAATGGAGGGACAGAATTTTCTAGTTTTTGAGGGGAGCAGCAATTAATTAAAGTAAGCAACGCATCAAACCTATGCATTGTGTCACGTCTTATTTGAATACTGCACCAAGAGTTACTGCTAGAAGAAAGTCCCGTCTCCTGTCCAACTGAAACTATAAGACAGAAAAAACCACTGGGCTACCTATGAGGTCATTCTGCCCCATCTCCCAAGTCACGCATAGCAACGAAACCTATTGGTCCTGGAAGTTGTAAGGTACCTGTTGGGAGATACTGTATGTTTACCCCATCTGGAAGGCCATGTATGAACCCATTGGAATTATTGGCATTCAGAGAACAGGCACAAAGTGCATGGCCCACCATTAGTTATATTTCATCTAAATTAAATTGAGTTTCTCTTGAGTTCTACCCATTTCTGTTGTGGCCACAAGACTGAATTTCTCAAAGGGAGGTTAAATATAAGCAAGATTATTAATAATTTTTTGAAACGCTTTTCTAGTCTCTTGATAGTCTAGAGAAAATATTCTACAGTGCACAATCACAGATTCCATGTCAAACAGGAAGTACCACAATGACAGCTGGCAGGGGATTTGCACCCCAATATACTTTTTTTTTGCCAACACACATTCCACTATGCGCCACTACCCATGCTGCTAGTTACAAATACATTAATCTGTGAAACTCCTTTAAGTCCTTGAAATGTGATAGATTTATATCCTATCTTCCCTCTTACATGGGAATCACAGTTCATTGTATTTATTACTAACAGGAAGATTCAATGGGAGGGCGACTCCTCCTCTAATCTTTTGCCAATATTTTTCAAAAATATGAATATAGGTTCAACTAGATCATCAGCAAGGACCTTCAGCCTTGGAGGGCAACCATCTGGGTCTTGAGACTTCTTTCAAGATCAGCAAATATTCCTTGCTTCTCTTCAGCTGAGAATCAAACCTGTTCTCTCAGCCAGTTCATAACTATCTAGTGGAATATACCTATTTGTTCAGAGAACACAGAAGCAAATAGTTGAGAAATTCTGCCTTTACTCTGGTACCTGTTACATTTTTGGCATATTCACTGAGGAGGATTTTTTAACAATTCTTTTATTCAGGGCATATATGAAACCTTTGGAACGTTCTTGGCTTCTTCACCAATCTCAGCTCATCCTGAGCTTTGACTTTCTAAATAAAAATCCCATGGTAATTCAATTACGGAAAAATTGGTTATAAACAAGTATGTTTATAACTTGCCCATTAGGCTATAAGGATGTGCAAAGCATTCAGAATGGAATTCCATGCAGAACAGCGGCATAAATTTATTTTTATTTAAATGTATTGGTTGTCCACCTTCAATGGACTCCTACTTGAAACACTAAGAAAGTTCTCATCCATGTGGATACACAAAGTAGATTCACTGCAACGGAGATGCAACATTATGCTATAGTATATTATTTTTAATATGAAGGACCAAGACTCCAATATTCTTTATAGTACCAATAAAGTGGAAATATATGCAATAAGAGGCATAATACAAACTGCCAAGAAATAGGTATGTAGGGAGACAACAATTCTTGAAATTCAGCTACTCTAAGAACAATATCTTCTTCAGGCATAGATAGTTAAAAAGACTGGCCAGGAACAATTTTAAGAGTATTTCCTAATAAGCTGATTACATTTGTGTACAGGTATGGTCCCATTTTACAGAGATAGTCCTCGACTTCCAACAGTTAATGTAGTAACCGTTCAACCGGCACTGAAAAAAGTGACTTATGACCATTTTACACATGACCACTGCAGCATCCCCATGGTCATGTGATCAAAATTCAGACACTTGGCAACTAACTCATATTTATGATGGTTTGCAGTGTCCCGGGATCATGTGATCACCTTTTGCAACCTTTGTCAGGCAAAGTCAATGGGGAAGCCAGATTCACTTAACAACCGTGTTACTAACTTAACAACTGCAGTGATTCACTTAACAACTGTGGCAAGAAAGCTCATAAAATAGGGCAAAATTCACTTAACAAATGTCTCACTTAGCAACAGAAATTTTGGATTCAATTGTGGTCATAAGTCGAGTACAACCTGAAATCTACTGAACATAATAAAAGTTTGCAAATCAAATTAAAAAAAAAATTCTGCAAAATACTTGACAACATTGCTTAATTTCAAAGATATTTAACACTGTATTTCAAGATGCTTATGAATTATGGTACATAATACCTCTGTAGTTACTCAATTATTCTACAATGAATATAGGTACAACAGACCCAGAATGCATGTTTCAACCACATCAAAGTTTTATTTATTGTAAATAAAATATATTTTCAACTAGCCAACAAGTTACACCAGTCTTTCCAGACTTTTCACATCATAAATCAACAGTTTCTTTTACTTAACAGTAGCAAACATTAATACATAAATCCCCATTCACTTTACGTCACTCCAAACTATTATGAAATTATGTCCTTTATAAAAGGGCCAGCCTATCAAAATTCTCAAATATAATCACTTGAGAGATAATTGACCTCAAAAGCATCAACTTTGTGACCTTCATCAGCATATTGAGCTGCAGCTTAGATTGTATTTTGCAGATACTTGAAGCATCAAGTTGTTGTGAATTAGCTCTTAGTGTCATTCAGAAAGCATGAAAATGTTTCCTTGGGGAAAAAAATAGCATGGTTTATCTTCTTCATGAAAGAAATGTCCGCACTGTACCCTTGATGGTTCCTCTGCATATTGGGCATTTCCTAAGGGAAGGGGCACATTCCTTGCAAACTACCAAATGGCCACAGGGGATGAAGACAATGGACACTTCCTTGTCCATGCAGACTTTGCATGTTCTCTCCTCTTGCAGTCGTCTCAGTTGTTCTTCCATAGGTAAGCCTGCAATTAAAGAATCTTATTATCTATACAAAAGTAACACTTTGAACTATGCTTTAATAAAGAAGAAAGGCATTCCTCACTTCCCTGCCATTCACAACCCTTTCTCTTCTTAAATCCATCAACCTATGAATGATGGCAAATATACATGTCCCAGGATAATGTTGCAGGATCCAGTCTGGGTCAATCACCAGGACCAGAGGTTTAGTTTTCCGAGCTTCCGGACTCATGCTGGAGCCCATCCTCGGGGAACTTCTCTCTCACCAGAATGTGTCACTGACCCAGATTAGATCTTATCACCAACTTATGTTGAGACACTATTGAAGAAAGGAAGAATATTCTATTTCAGGCCCAAAGATCTTCCTGTCCAAGTGCATCCATCTTATTAAATGAAATTTCAAAATACTCAAAATATTAATCCAGGTCAGTTTTATAAGCATTCACTCGTAACTCCCATTATGAACTATTTCACCATAACCTGTTTTCTTAAAAACACTGCAATCTTTATATTCCAAATGCCATTCATGTTTATTTAGTAAATTAAATGTTTACCTGAAACATCTTCCATTGGAATGTATGTCATATTCTTCTCCACTGAAAGTAAGTTAAACATTGTTAGATCAAGTAACAAATTACCTCAGATTCTGCAGATAAACTCTAACCCCCCTCCCTGCTTAACAATTATTAACATAACAGTGAATTGCTTTTGGAAAGTCTAATCAACAGAATTTCCTCTGCATTATCTATTTCATATAAGAGGAAGAAAACTATTTGCAACTCTTACCTATAAAAACTCATAAATCCATTATAAATGTGAATTGCAATAAACTAGAGTTACCATTCCTCAAGAAAATGACAATTCAAAGCATTTCTCTAAGAAACTCACCAAACAAATCCTTGTATAATACAAGATCACATTCCTGTAAACAATTTCTGAATATGTCTGCTGCAGAATTTCCTTTCACCAAGATGGTATCAATCAGTTCTCTAGCTTGTAAAGATGTCTGGGTTTTTTGTTTAATAACTTGGTGTTCCTGGTCACTTATTACTTTGGAACTTAATAAACTTTCCAGGATAGGGAGCGTACATGTCAAGCGCTGAAACAATGCCATTCGATTCTTTCTGATTAAGGCCAGATCTGAAATATAATAAATGAAAAGATAACACAGTGCAAACCTATTTCTTAGCAGTTTTAGCAGAAAATGTTGAGTAAAAATGGAAAATTTCCAGGTACTGAACTCATCCAGGGGAAGGGCACAATGGGGGTATTATGAATATAAAGCAGTATTATTTTGTTTACCTCACAAACATATAGTTTTTCAGATTCACAAAATCCAACAGATCTACCCCCTTTGTTGAAAGGAACTTTTTAACACCATTTTTAAATTCAAACTCCAATTTACTTTAAAAAAGATGAATCATACAATGGCACATAAATTACCATAATAGCATAGCATTTAGTATGCTGGTGAAACTGACAGATAGGAATGATGTGATCAATATATTATGTAAATACATCCAACACTGGATGGCACTAATTATTTTCAATTTTTACACAAATTAATTACTGCAGGTTTTGTCAGCTGCAGAGTTTCATCACCCTCCCCCATTAGCTAATAACTCTATTTTGGCTCCAGTGCACGTAGATAATACAGCCATTCTTATAACATCCTAAGTTGGCGTGAGAAGTTATTTTGCCCTTTGTTATATGAGAAACTGCCTTGTATTCAATCATCACAAAACTATAGCAACTGTGTTGTCAAGAGGTTTTATTATATGTGTATGTGTTAGAAAACTGACAGCCTCTATATTAATCAGGCTAATCTCTTTAAAAGCTCTAGAGTTTTCCTCTGCCCTAACCTCTTGGAAAGAACAGACAGAATATAGGTAGAAAGTTTCACAAATGATACTTTGTTTTGCAAGTCACAATGGTAACAAACATGTCCAGGCAGCTATTAAGATTTACAGGACAAGTCTTGAGCGACCTTATTTAGGGCATGCAGGTCTGTAAATACAGTAACAGGATCCCTTTGAAAATAATGCAAACAAAGAGGACTTGTTATGTATGCTCCAGTGTGCATTCACAACTGCTAAGCTTGGAATCTGATCTGATTCCATTGAGGCTCGTCCAGAAGATTGGCTTAATCTATTTTGAGGGTTTTCTATCTACCCAGCTCTTCGATATCCGTGGCGAATGTTAATAACTTTGAGTGAAAATGTTGTGGTCTCTCTAGTTATCTGAGCTCATTAGACTCTGAAAATGTCCCATCCAAGATGAAAAAGAGGGTCTTTGACTCAAGCAGCAAAAAAATCTCTGTTCTGGTCTCAAATTGTATTTAGGTTTATTTAGCAGACCTTTTTTCAACCCAACTACTAACCTCCAATGCCCAAAATATAAGAATGCTTTCACTAGGTACAGATAGTCCTTTACTTATGACCACAACTGAAGCCAGAATTTCCACTGCTAAGCAAGGCGGTTCTTAAATGAGTTGTGCCCAATTTTATGACTTTTGCTACTGTCAAGTGAACTGCCCAGTCATTAAACAGACCCAGTTTCTGTCATTGATTCTGCTTGTTGGAAATTGGCTGGAGAGGTTGAAAGTGATCATCATCACTGACCCTGAAAGACTATAAGCATCATAAATACACGTTGATTGTCAAGTGCCTGACTATTTTTTTTAATCACATGACTGTGAGGGTGCTGCCAAGGACATAAGTCACTTTGACCCACATGTCACTTTTTTTCAGTGCAACTGTTAACTTCAAACCATCACTAAACAAACAGTGGTAAGTGGTGGACTACCTATATGATGTATTGTCATGAGTATAATTAGAAGAGTCAACAATTCTCCTCTGAGGAATACTGCTCTCCCTGTTCACTAGGGACACCATCATTAACTTATTGACTAAGAGAACAGAGTCTTTGTCTTCTTAATTTCTACTAAAGAAAAAAAAAATCTTTATGCCAAAAAGAATAAAAAGAAATGAAAGTGACAATATTACAAATTGACTGCACTTTCTCCAATGAAAGGGACAGCTTATTTAGGACAGTATTTCCAATTCGGGACATCATTTTTATGAAATGAAAATAAATTGTGTTTCAGAATTGGACAAAATAGCCAATTTCCCTCTATGTATAACCACTGGTTATATTGAGCCTAGAAAGAAGATTGAGAGAAATAAGATACTACTGTTCAAGTGATTGAATATTATAATAGAGAAGAAGGCAAACATTGGATTTCTATTATACGTTGACAATTCTGCTGTGTTTAAATTACAGCAGGCACAGTTTTTAAGTGAATAAGGAACATTTCTGGGTAGAAACGACAGTATGACAATAGAACTGAATATTGGTTTTTTTTTTCTAGAGATGGCTTCTATAGAAAGTTTCAGCTAGAGGCTGAACAGCAACCTATTAGGATACTATAGTTCTGGGTTTTCTGCACTGACAGGATTGAACCAGACCATTCTAATGAAGAAAAACTCAAGGACACAGATTTCCACAAAAGATATTTTGTGAAGGGGTTAATTCTCAATAAAGCTATCATATAGCAAGGAAAGCAACAACCAATTCCTCAAACTGATGTAATGAAACTTATATATACCTGATGTTGTTTTCTCTGATGGATCCTCCTTCTCCTCTTCCTTCTTCTCATCTTCTGAAGTAATAAGGTCAGACACCAGATCATTTACTGTTTTGTAATTCTCCCCTGTTGTTAATATTTTACTCTGAACCATTTGCTTGACCAGTTTTCTACTGAATCCCATCTCCAAAACAGCTTCAACCATTGGTGTTTTCATTATGGTGGCATCTTCTGAAGTATTTTCACCACATTCAAAACGAATAACTATTCAGAAAAAACATTCTAGCATTATTTCTTGAAGTATCAGTATGTTATTGAGTTTATTTTATTTATTTATTTATTTATTTCATTTATACCCCGCCCTTCTCCCGGAGGACTCAGGGCGGCTTACAGCCAGTTTAAAACAATCCCACATAAATACCAAATACAAATCTAAAATAATTAAAAATAAATATTTGAATTGGCCGCTCTATTAAAATTTTGTTAAAACCAATTAAAATACCCCCTAGGCCAGTCCTNGGCGGAAGGAGGGGAGATCCGGAATCACCCGGATCTCTGGGGGCAGCTCGTTCCAGAGGGTGGGCGCTCCGACAGAGAAGGCTCTCCCCCTGGGGGTCGCCAACCGACACTGTCTGGTTGGCGGCACCCTGAGGAGGCCCTCTCTGTGGGAGCGTATTGGCCGGTGGGAGGTAATCTGTGGCAGAAGGCGGTCTCGGAGGTAACCAGGTCCGATGCCATGGCGCGCTTTAAAGGTGATAATCAGCACCTTGAAGCGCACTCGGAAGACCACAGGCAGCCAGTGCAGCTCGCGCAGCAGCGGCGTTACATGGGAGCGACGAGTCGCTCCCGTCACCGCCCGCGCGGCCGCATTCTGAACTAACTGGAGCCTCCGAGTGCTCCTCAAGGGAAGCCCCATGTAGAGAGCATTACAGTAGTCCAGGCGGGAGGTGACAAGAGCATGGGTGACTGTGCGCAAGGCATGCCGGTCCAGAAAAGGCCGCAACTGGTCGTCCAGTGTCAGCCGTGGATCCAGGAGGACCCCCAAATTGCGCAACCTCTCCGAGGGGGCCAAAGTTTCGCCCCCTATAGTCAGCGATGGAGTCAGCTGACCATACCTGGGAGCCGGCAACCACAGCCACTCCGTCTTGGAAGGGTTGAGCCTGAGTCTGTTTCTCCCTATCCAGACCCGTACGGCCTCCAGACACCGGGCCATCACGTCAAGGGCATCATTGGGGTGGCCTGGGGTGGAAATGTACAGCTGAGTATCGTCAGCGTACTGATGAAAATCCACCCCAAAGCCACGGAAGATCTCCCCCAGCGGCTTCACATAAATATTGAACAGTAAGGGGGAGAGGACTGACCCTTGTGGCACCCCACAAGTTAGGGGCCTTGGGGCCGACCTCTGCCCCCCTGCCAATACAGACTGTGTGCGGTCGGTGAGGAAGGAGGAGAACCACCGCATAACCGTGCCTCCCACTCCCAACTCAGCCAGACGCCGCAGCATGATACCGTGGTCCACCGTATCAAAAGCCGCTGAGAGGTCCAAAAGAACTAGGA